ACATATTTTGATATAAAAAATAAAATATCTCGTAAAATATTTAGTTTTCGATAATCTTACCGTAATGCTTTTATGTACAGAATAATGAGACAAATCAATTAGTAAAAAAAAATAATTGTTTTTAAGAAAAAGTATGTGATTATTTATAATGTATTTTTTTTAACAATTATTTGTTTTTTTTTTTTAAACTAATTGATTTGTCTCACTATTCTGTACATAAAAGTGTTACGGTAAGATTATCGAAAACATATTTTACGACGAGATATTTTATTTTTTATATCAAAATATGTCAGAATAAAATATAAAATAACTCAAAAAGTACTTAATGAAAAAATACTTTATTATAGTGATTTGGAAAGCTCTCGAGGTAAGCTACAAGAATATGTAATAAAAAATGGTTCTTAAAAACAATTATTTTTTTTTACTAATTGATTTGTCTCATTATTCTGTACATAAAAGTATTACGATAATCTAAAGATAATAAGATTATCTAAAACTAAATATTTTACGAGATATTTTATTTTTTATATCAAAATATGTCAGATTAAAATATAAAATAACTCAAAAAGTACTTAATGAAAAAATACTTTATTATAGTGTTTTGAAAAGATCTCGAGATAAGCTACAAGAATATGCAATAAAAAGTAGGCAATTCCATTTAAAAAATTGAAGGTGGCCTTGCTTTTTTATGGAAAAAAAATGTTTGGTCAATTTTTATTATTGCAATTTGTTGCCGGTTAGAAACTGATAAATTTCTGTTTATGACTTTTTTATGTCAGATTATTGTAAGTGCCTTAAAAATTGTGGCGACCGTTACAAGGACCACCCTGTATATATAGAAATAAAAATTAAGCCGAGCTCACTTTCAGTAGTATCAATCATCATTATAAGAAATGTACTTTCGATTGTATAATGTAAATACAAAAGATAGAAACGCGTGTTTGTGGTTTTTTACACGTTCGTTTTACGGAATTACAGATGACCCGTTAGAAAACGGAAAAGATTTCAATTGATAAAGGAAAGAAAAGAGAAGATGTGGGTTTCACTCCGAGACAGTAAACTATAATTTCTTCCATGATATACGAGCTTCTGAGTAGAACGACGAGAGTTCTGCGATGCAAAAGCAACACGAAACGATCGCCGCCTAGGCTAGTCGCTCGGAATGCGAAAGGTGCATCCCTCTCGCCCGCGGTATCGTTTGACAAATACGCCAGTCGTTTCTCAAGGCGTTTGAATAGTGCTTTCTTAGCACCAGGATGGTTCGTGAAATCTTCGTAAAATAACCTCGTCGATAAGTAACGGAGAAGCTATTATGGTGATCAATATTTCCTGAGAGCCTGTATTGCGTAACTTTTTAACGCCTGCATATTATAAATGGCAAAGTCTATTTGCATATCCATACAAAATATATGCTTAGAAAAATCGATTTATTGCGTGTCTAAAGAAATTAACACACAACACGCGATAAAAAAAGCGTTTTTATAGCTTTATCAAATTGTTCATCGTAGAATAAAATATTACGATATCTCATAGATGTGTGTTATAATAATATGTATGATATAATATGCGATAGTCAATCAAGTTAAAATAATTTGGTTTCGATTTACACAATTGTTAACTACAATGTTGTATTGATACAAAAGGATATCGTTACATCATTAAATTGGAAACACAAACATAACAAAAATCAGAAATATCGGATTAACATTCTATATCGCATAAAAGCTTGAAAATTGATACAATTCTACAATCTTTTAATCTATTATGATACAAATTCTTTAGTCCTTAGGCTTAAAATTATGCCTTTTTATATACAGGGTGTCCTAGACCACTCGTACACCCCTTTTCTTTCAAAAACCAAGCATTTTAGAGAAAAACGTTTTGAACAAAAATTGTATGGGTTTGAGGGGAACATATGATGGTGTCATTGGTTTGACCTTGGATGGCATCGTTAAGGTCAAGTCAAGGACACCTTTAATTTCTTAAAGATGACCTTAACGATGCCATCCAAGGTCAAACCAATGACACCATCTTATGTTCCCCTCAAAACCATACAATTTTTGTTCCAAACGTTTTTCTCTAAAATGCTTAGTTTTTGAAAGAAAAGGGGTGTACGGGTGGTCTAGGACACCCTGTATAAGAAACGTAATATAAATAGTAGAATATAAAATTTATATAAATTATTATGCGTTTTATTGCAAACCATAATGCTAACGGGATAAAACATATTTTATATATAATTTTTTATATGTAGTATTTTTTATACGTATTAACTTAAAATTGTAAAAAAAAAGGTACACACAATATATACAAATGCAAATATTTCTGTCTTGGCCGCAATTGAAACCTACTTTGGGTATTGATTGAGACAACATGAATATTATTCAAATTCCGGACTGTCGCGAGAAATTCGAATCGTATGATTACCTTACATATCGCACGTACTTTGCTTCGTTTATTATATACACAGTTAAATTATTTCGAATAACCAGAGAAGGCGAGAGTGTAGGTGTGTGTGCCGACCCATCTTGCGAATATACACGACTTGGAACACAAACGCAGTTAGCGCAGCAAAGTTTCTCGTTACGCGAAGGAAAATTGAAATTTACATCTCTCGCTCCCTGCCTCCCGTTTCCCTCCCGCGAGTCTCCGCTCGCTTCATCGCGCTAATAATTATTTTTCTCATCATCGTAAGTGACGAAGAGTGGAAGCGGGGTATCTCTTCCCGGTTTTCCTTGTGAAAATGGAAATAATATTTTCTTATATAGCTTCCTTAAACGTTCATGCGATAATATTTTTCGCCTCCGTTTATCGCCGCCGCAGCGTGCTCAGGATTCTCAGGATCGAATACCGCGATGTATGTGTAAAATTGCTCGCATGCTTACCTGGCTACCGAGGCCGAGTATGAAGAGCATGAAGAAGAATAGAATGGCCCAGAGATTCGGATACCTCATCTGTACCACTGCCTCTGGGTAAGCGATAAAAGCCAATCCCTCCGCGTCCTGAACCACCTTGTCGATCGGCATGTGCATCACCCGGGCCAAGAATCCGAGTACCGAGAATATTACGAAGCCAGCGAAAACGGAAGTGAGTAGATTCGTAAAGGTAACAAAAATAGCATCCCTGACAATAAGAAAGCCAAGAATCAAATTACCATGCACACGACAAGCATGTACGGGATGTTAATAAAATGCTTGGAAAAGCCTCAGGAATGAACTATATTAGAACAAAGGAAAGCTCGTATACAAACATCGTGTTGTTTTGAGAAAAGCGCTTTCATCTCTCTCCCTAAAATAAAAAAATAAAAGGTCCTCCTAACCCATTATTGTATCCAATCTTTTTCTGTTTCTCTGATCTCTAACAGAATCCTAAGGTTTTATCCCTTATTTTCTCTTACATCCTTCTATACACATATACATATATACAGGGTGAGTCATTTTAATCAACGCACGCAAATATCTCGTAAAGTAAACAAGATGGAAAAAAATGTTCTATACAAAAGTTGTATGGTTCAGAGGGGGACACATGATGAAAATATGGACTTGACCTTGAGTGACCTTTTCAAGGCCAAGTCAATGTGATCGATGTTTTCTTAAATGGAATCCCTCATTTTTTATTACATATTCTTGTAGCTTATCTTGAGAGCTTTTCAAAACACTATAATAAAGTATTTTTTCATTAAGAGAAGTTTTGTAGAAATAAATTTATTTATTTTATCTGTCAGCAATAACAGATGACAGATCAGTACGTGTGTAAATGTAGTTACGAGTCTGAGGGCGTAAATTCTACGCAATATTATTGGCAAACTTTGATCACTTATAACTCAAGAACTATTGCAGCCTCGATATTTTTGTATTAAAATTTTTTACTCCATTTTGCCTCTAGAATACGCTATTAAAATATTGTACGATGTTGTGAGACACCCTGTATATGTATATATACAGGGTGTTTCAGAGCGACTGTATCAGCAGTTTTTTGAGGAAACAACGCACTTTCGTGAAAAATGTTTCATGCAAAAGTTGTAGAGCTCTAAGTGGCGCATTATATAATAATATTAGTATGACCTTGAATAGCACCGTCAAGGTCACATAAAAATCACTTTGAATTTTTTAAATGGAACCCCCTATTTTTCATTACATATTCTTGTAGCTTACCTCGAGAGCTTTTCAAGACACCATAATGAAGTATTTTTTCATTAAGTACTTTTTGAATTATTTTATATTTTAATCTGACATATTTTGATACTTCCTCTTAATGGCAGATTCCTTAGAACATTTTAAGACAAAAATCCTAATACAAAAATGTCGGGGTTATAATAGTTTTTAAATGGGAAGCAATTATATTTTACGAATGGCAGAGCTGAGATTTTGCACGCTCAGGCACGGCGAAATAGTAGACACCTTCATGGTAACATTGATCGACCATTTTGACAGCTGAAGTTGAAACATGTTGCAAATTTTTACTTGGATCATTTTTGAGATGTCTTTAGTTCTTGCATACATTATACGAAAAAAATATATTAATGCAATGCGTAGAGAAGCGGGAAAACATAATGATAATGCTATTGTAAATTTATACGATAATCATAAAAAAGGCGCTCCATTCATAGAAGCACTTTTTTCACTTGTCATTTCGCCGTGCCTGAGCGCGCAAAATCTCAGTTTTGTCATTCGTAAAATACAATCGTTTCCCGTTTAAAAACTATTATAGCCTCGACATTTTTGTATTAGGATTTTTGTCTTGAAATGTTTTAAGGAATCTGCCATTAAGAGGAAGTACGGTAGTTTTAGGACACCCTGTATAATATACTATATGTTTATATCACACGCAATTAAAAAATAACTTGCATTGTTAGAAAATATTACATGCAGAAGACTTATATTTAAAATGCAGAAGACTATCTATATCTAAAAATTATTATTAGTCATATTTGTGTATGTACATCGCTTTTGAAAATCGAATTATGCAATATTTGGTTATTTAATTAATCATCTTTAATTTATTATTGTTATATTTGAGCTAGTTCTGAAATTATATCGGTTGGTTGTGATAAACAGCTGATTTATCTTTTCTTCACTGGAACGAGATGTCATCAAGTTTTGAGTTAAAACAAAATATCCAACAAACGTCATGTGTCGCGAAGATTAATAAACGTTTGCAGTGCTTAGTCAATGTAACTAATTAAATACGTCTTGCGATAAATTATTCGAGCGATTGAAATGTATGTATGTATGTATTTATAGAACAAATAGATACGATAAAGATTATTTTTTTGTTCCATTCTAGAGTTCGTTTCTATTATACAGGGTGTTCCCGGGTTAAATGGCCAAACTTGAAATATGAATTTAGGACTTTAAAACAAGAAAAAATTTTCCTCTAGAAGTATGCTCGCAAACGCTTCGTTCAAGAGATATTGACTTCTGAAGTTATGAACTATAGGAACGAATAATTTCGAAATGTCCTTTTTTATTTTTGTTTTGAAGATCAAAGGTCATTGACAGGCTTGTGTTCGCACTGTAAACAAAGCTCCACTTCTAAAGTTATGAAGTATAGGAACGAATACTTTCGAAATGTTTCTTTTTATTTTTGTGTTTAAGATCGAAGGCCATTGACAGGCTTGTGTTTGCACTGTAAACAAAGCTCCGTACATTCGTACCAAATAATTGTTAAAACGGAGGATAGTGCAAGCGTGCGAAGAAATGACAGATGTACAATGTCAATCAGCCACTCATTCTGTCATCGATAGGTGCAATGCTTGTCTCCGAGATGGAGGCCATCATTTTGAACAAAACATTTAATTATTAAATTTTGATTATTGTATAGCGATAAATAGAATAAATCTAGATTATTCCGAAATTATTTGTTCCTGTAGTTCATAACTTCAGAAGTCAATATCTTTTGAACGAAGCGTTTGCGAGCATACTTCCAGAGGAAAATTTTTTCTTGTTTTAAGGTCCTAAATTCATATTTCAAGTTTGGCCATTTAACCCGGGAACACCCTGTATATACAGGATGTCCCAAAATTAAACCGACAAACTTCAGGTGGTTATAAAGGACACCAAAACAAACCAATTTTGTCAATAAACTCGTGTCCGCAAATAAGCCCTTTTGGCATTAGAGAATCAAAGACTAACAAGGGAACCTCGCGAACTCGAAAACTCTTATTTTATTGGTAAAATTAGCTTACTTTGATGTCTTTTATAACCTGAAGTTTGTCGGTCTAATTCTGGGACATCCTGAATATATTGCAGATATAGGTAAAAAGTATCATTCTAATATAATCGCACCTGTGACAATTGTTGTTGAAGTTGCTGTAGCTCGCGAGGGTGACCAAAGATCCGCAGCCGATACCGAGCGAATAAAAGACTTGAGAGGCGGCATCCGCCCACATTTTGGCGTCTTTCAGCATCGAAAAGTTGGGCATGATGTACCACAGAACGCCTTCATCGGCGCCGTCTAACGTAACACCTGTGCGAATATCCTCCTCTCAGTCACGTTCGTGATAAAGTTATCCGATCTCTCACGCTAGGATGCTATTGTCGCGCGATCCGTATACAGAAGTTTTGCTGAACGAACGGATGCGAAAAAGCTTACGGAGAGAAGTGCTTAAAAAAGTTAAGTCGCGCGAAGATATCCTAGTCGATGACGATAGTGTAAAATCTGATTTATCTCGAATCATACGAGCAGGTAGTTCCAGTCAGCAATAAAACTTTGCAATTTTTTATTATATAATAAATAAAAAAACTATTTATTATAATTGTTATTTCCGTTTAAAATTTTTCTTTTACTATAATAAAGTATTTTTTCATTAAGTACTTTTTGAGTTATTTTATATTTTAATCTGACATATTTTGATAGAAAAAATAAAATATCTCGTAAAATATTTACATCATGTATATCATTATTATTAAAAAATAATTTGATTCATAAATACTAAAACGTTGGCCGTTAATGAATTAAATTCCAATAAACTTGTTACATTATAGAAAAGCTTTTTGTTTCTGTTTCTTACCTCGTATTAGCAGAGCTGTGAGGATAACATAAGGAAAAAGGGCAGTGAAGTAGACAACCTTGCCGATGCTCTGAATGCCGCGTACTAGACACAGGAAGCACACTGTCCAAGCTAAAGTGAGACATCCAAACAATTCCCATCGTATACCACCAAAGTTCTCCCATGTGGCACCGCGATAACCAAGAACGTAGTCTCTGAACACAATCGACAATTACACGCTTTGCAAGCGCGATCTTGAACAAATTTTGCCTCGTTCCTCAACGCTGAACAACGACGTAAGGCTCGTTCCCGATCCTCCCGACACGATGCAGCGCTGGTGACAACTTATATCGTACCTGAAATATTCTTCGGACGATAGTACCCGCTTGTAGATATCGCTGAAGGCTTTTGCTCCGCTGTTGTTGAAACAGTGAGTGGTATTGCCGCCGTTGAAGTAACCAAAATTCGAGCAGACCGCGTGGATGGCCACGCAGTTATTGTTGTAAAATATAGAGTTCGAGTTGGTGCTCTGCTGGCATGTTATATCTTCAAGGCCGCTATAACAATCTGTCAACGTTAATACTAGCGTTAGATGCATCATCCCAGAACGAACGGGCATAGCATGATGACTATCTCTCCTCTTTTCATCATCAATATAATATCTTCTTTAAAGATTTGCTACAATTATTTAATCAGGCTCTAAATTGCATAATGGTAGGTAATGTTAATTGTATTTATATTATATTATCTTATAATATAAAGCACATAAATTAATTAATAAAAAAAATTATAAATATTTTTTATCATATTATTTTACACGAAATATCTTACGTTTTTTCTCATATTATTATTATAAAGAGAAGATAAGTTTGTTTCAAATATTTAATAAATTTATGTACGCTAAAAGCAATGAATTTTTGTAATAATTTTAAGTAAACAATATAAATATCATCGAAAGTTATTACAATAACATTATTAATAATATTACAAAACTCACTCCCAAATGGATCGATTAATCATGAGTTAACTACACACCCGCTAAAGTTTAGTTAAATATTTGCTCGTTTAAATAAAACGATAAAAATCCAATCTCTCATCAGCGTACCAGTTTACTTTTACTTACCCTTAGTGTTAAAATCGTTATCGCAGTGCGCCCAGGCGAGTTTTGGAGAGAAAGAAGCAAAAGTATAGAATAAAATCCAAGCGACGATTATCATATAGTATATCAACACTAGGAAAATGACAACCAACGTGCAATAACCTAGACCATGAAATGCTGGTGCCATGCGGCTGAAAGCCTTTATGGGTCCTAGTCCAGTGTACTGACCCATACAAAGTTCCAGAAAGAATATAGGCAGACCCATTGTAAACAGCATGAGAATGAAAGGTATCAAAAAGACGCCTATAACAATATGCAATTTTAAATATAGCTTCTCCGAAATAATGTAAAAACAATTTTAACTAAAATAAAATGTTATTTTTTGAAAGAATTATCGATTCTTTACAATTTTAATAATTTCTTGTACTTTTATTGTTTTTCATAATATTGTTGCATCTCCGCAGATCGAATTGATATACATCGTGATACGTCACACTCATATTATCAGACGTTGCACTTGCGAGAAGGAAAGAACGATTTTTGTGAAAACAACACAATTGTTTAATAAACTTGAATATATAAGTACAATATTAAACAGGCAATAGATAGAAAATGCGTCCGTCGATAGTTTTCAGATTCAAGGTGACTGCTCTTGTTTACAATTGACGAGCTTGCCGTTCCGAAGACTCGAATCTCTTCTTCTTTTTACTTACATTTAGCTCAAGTAAATTACATAGACTTTGAATTGATCAGGCACAGCAAGATCATATTAATACGGAGGGATGAAACAATATATAAATATTATATGACAAATATAGAGCATTCATTTCTTAATGATTTATTTAATGGATTATATAATTCTTTACTGAGTAAATGGATTTTTTTGGATATAATTCATTAAGAAATAAATCATATATATATACATATATATATATATATAATTCATTTCTTAATGAATTATTTAGTGGACTATATAATTCCTTACTGAATAAATGGATTTTTTAACTTATTAACACAACTATATAAGAAAATTTTCATAGTTTATAATAATATTCTATTTTAAATCGAATTATTCTAATGTATTAATTAAATCATATTGTTTATCCTACATTTAACTGTTTAAAAATTTTTTTCGAGAATCGGATTTTTTTGTCACACACACGGAAGAAATAAGTTTACAGAGTGAGAAATAGAGAGAGAGAAAGAGAGAGAGAAAGAGAATTATTAAAAATTTAATAACTTATATTCAAAAAGTTCCAACAATTAATTAAAATATTTTCATCTTGAATGACTTGTAATTCTGGAAAAAGTGTCTTCAGATCTTTGTTTACGTGGCAACCACTTTTCTTATTTTTAAATCTGCAACGCAATTTCAAAGTTTGTGCATCAGCTTTTCAAAGTTTGTGCTAATAATTTTTCGACGCCTTATATAAGAACACAGATATTGCATCGCAGTGATGTACAGAGTATCTCAAGCTTTTAACGGCTAAACTGTGCTAACGTGTTTTATAAGCAAATAAAAACGAGAAAAAAATATACTATGTAAACATAAGATCATAAATGCTTTATTTGAACACATTCCAAGTAAATATGTTAGATATAAATATAATTGTGATATGTAATCAGAAGAAAGAAAATTTATAAGATAATAAATTCCTCTCATAAATCTCCTATCTTTTTTTTCAACGCTCGTGAGCGGGTAGAGCACAGTAATCTGAACAGAAAAGTCCTGTAACATTTTTTTATATAACGCGTAATAAAGAAATTATTATTGAGTAAAGTCTGGCCAATCAGCGCCAACCTTTAGCCGGGCGCACATCAGTCAGCCCCGCGCTGTGAAGTATGCGCCGCCGCATACTATCAGGCGGGCGGCTCACAGACGTGCGTCCGGCTAAAAATCGTCGCTAATTGACCAGATTTTATTCAATAATAACTTCTTTATTAAGCGTTATATAAAAAAATGTTACAGGACTTTTCTGTTCAGATTACTGTGCTCTACCCGCTCACGAGCGTTGAAAAAAAAGATAGGAGATTTATGAGAGGAATTTATTATCTTATAAATTTTCTTTCTTCTGATTATATATCACAATTATATTTATATCTAACATATTTACTTGGAATGTGTTCAAATAAAGCATTTATGATCTTATGTTTACATAGTATATTTTTTTCTCGTTTTTATTTGCTTATAAAACACGTTAGCACAGTTTAGCCGTTAAAAGCTTGAGATACTCTGTACATCACTGCGATGCAATATCTGTGTTCTTATATAAGGCGTCGAAAAATTATTAGCACAAACTTTGAAAAGCTGATGCACAAACTTTGAAATTGCGTTGCAGATTTAAAAATAAGAAAAGTGGTTGCCACGTAAACAAAGATCTGAAGACACTTTTTCCAGAATTACAAGTCATTCAAGATGAAAATATTTTAATTAATTGTTGGAACTTTTTGAATATAAGTTATTAAATTTTTAATAATTCTCTTTCTCTCTCTCTTTCTCTCTCTCTATTTCTCACTCTGTAAACTTATTTCTTCCGTGAATGTATATATATATATATATATATATTTCTTTTATATTATCTGCGAAAAGGGTCAGGTTCCTATTGCGTGTCATCAGGAGTTGGCAGTGATTCTGAAGTCATGGCTGAATTGGCGGCACTTCTGCGACATGAAATTCCTGAAGGAAGAAACAATCTGGCCGACAGCCATACAAATTTGGAGAGAGTGGCTGAATATTGCGAGGCAAACTATTTCCAAGCGGAAAATAAAAGAATTGCACTGGAGGAAACTAAAAATTATACCACGCAGTCTTTAGCCAGTGTTGCATATCAAATAAATACTCTGGCTTACAATTTTCTTCAACTGTTGGACTTGCAGACGTCTCAGCTTGCTGAAATGGAAAGTCAGATGAATCATATTGCTCAGACAGTCATGATCCATAAGGAAAAGGTTGCCAGGAGGGAAATCGGTGTCCTGACGGCCAACAAGATGACGACTCGTCAGTACAAAATTATTGCTCCTGCGAATCCTGAAAAACCAATTAAATATGTCAGAAAGAGCATTGATTACACAATCTTAGATGATATTGGACATGGTGTGCGTAGCTGCGGTACACCACGAAGCAAGCAGAGAGGTGGTAGTCAAGGCAGTGTTCAAAGTTTAGGTGCTGCTTCTACAGGTTCAGGCTTAGGTGCTGCTATGGTAGGACCTGCCCCTACTACTAAACCACCTACGCCACCTCAGACAGTGAGAACTGGTAAGAGTTATATATACATATACGTAATGTGTACAGAATGTTTGATACAATTTTACAATTTTTTCTACAAATAGAAAAATATGGATTTCTTGTCCTATTGTCATTTACAAGGATAATTTGCAATTGTACTATAAACTGTCAAACATTCTGTATGTACAGGGTGTCCCAGGAATGCTCTGGGACACCCTGCATAAGTGTTAGAGATTGAACGAGTGCTACACAAACTTGTAAAGGTGTACTTTTTCAGTTGCGGTTATAAAAAAATTAAAAATCATTTCGCTAAGGTATTTACTGCTTCTTTGCTTGCATGTGTGTCTCTTCTTTCTTTCGGCTTCTAAATGTTACACCATTCTACTTGTTATATCCAATGTGTTAAGTGTGTGCTGTATGAATCAAAGATATAAATATATCGAATAATATGAAAATTCTTTGTATAGGAACGTTGAGTAAAGGATCGCGCGAGTATAGGACCCCACCAGCTGTAGCTCCACCACAAGTACCTAGTCACTACGCGCCCAACTATCCGCTCGGCCATCCCAGGCGAGATCGTGGTCCAGGATACAGCACTTTACCATTGCATGCTCACAATACGTCCCATGCAAGCCACAATGCCAATCATAATGCGCACACTAATACCATCAATCAACATACTGTGCCACAAGTGGGAACGGTACATCCTCTACAGAGTCATCCGCAGACGCCACCGCCAGCACCGCCTAGTGTTACCGCGAGCTATGTGCAGGAGCAGCATAACAGTATGCCTCGTAAGTAACAAACAATATAGATATTACGATTAATATTAATAATATATAACATTGACGTATATACTATATATTATATAATTCTGTGATAACATATACTGCACTATTTAATATATTATGATTTCTTACCACCAGCTCCACCCTCGCCTTTGGTAGGACTAAGCGGCGACATGACAGAATACACTGGACATCATACTCTACCACACAGATTATCGCATCAGATTAGTCGTAGCAGCGGTGCGAATAGTCCGCCCTTGCCGCCGCCTCCACCACCGGAACAGGATGAACATCCACAATTCGGCAGACCGACTCCATCCTCTAGTGCTATAATGCCGATCGTGCCGGATGAGGAAGATTTGCCCGGATGGGTGCCAAAAAATTATATTGAGAAAGGTAGAGTCTCATCTTTTCTGCTTTCATTGTTATAAATAAAGTTATATTTATTAATATTACAATATCAAGAGAGAGCTATTTGGTACATATAAATCTAAAGAATGTAATAATAATATATATCAATAACACATATGATAAAAAATAACGTCATTGCAGTGGTGGCCATTTATGATTATTATGCGGACAAAGAGGATGAGTTAAGTTTTCAAGAGAGTTCTGTGATTTATGTGCTCAAGAAGAATGACGACGGATGGTGGGAGGGGGTGATGGACGGAATAACAGGATTATTTCCGGGCAATTATGTTGAACCATGCGTATAACTACATGCAATAATTGGATATATCAAAATAATTATTGGAAGACTGCAATTTTTAGACATTTATCATACATGTACATGTTATTCATCGCATTTATATTAATTATCAACATCGCGATAATGTAAACAAAAGTTATTCATCTCACGTTTCCTTTTAACAAATCAATCATTCCATTGATTTGCATTTATGAGTATACGGGAGACAATATTTTGAGGCTCATTGAAATGTTAAAAATATAATTTTTATTGTATTTTTTATACGCGTTATTTTATAATTTATTGACAAATGTACAAAAAGAATTCAAATTATTTAAGTATCAGTGCTCTATACAAGTGATATTGCACTTGCATCAATCAATAATCTGCATGCAATGCAGTAGTCGGTGCAAAGAGAGAGAGAAAAAGAGAAAATCCAAAGTAGCATAAACTTCCTTTATAGATTTTACGTCATTTCTACGGCTTATTCACGTCCTCTCGACTCTTGCCACGCCTATAGTCGTGCGAAATGCCAAGTACTAATTGATCATCACTATGTAATATGTAGGACAAAGAAGAAATGATGATAAAGTGTTTGATTGTCGACAAAAATAATTTAGTCAAGAGTTTCGAATCAAATACTAAGAAGTGAAATTTTTATATTAACGTAAAAAGATGTATTTTTCTGCATTTTTGGTATTTCTTCGCGGGAATAGATATTGAATTATATAGTAGTAGTATTATATTCTATTAATTATGTATCTCTCCCCCTTATATATGTGTATATATATATCTATGTATAAGAGATTGTATGTTGCAATAGAGATCTTTTACCTCTATGAGTGTATTTTGCATTTTCATTTGCAATATGATCACATATGCAATTGTTAAAAAAAAAAAACAAATTTCAGACGAGAGAGTTGCAGCATTCCATATAAAGGAATGTAAATAAATAACTGCATGTTTTTTTTCTTTATAGACTTTATTAACATAAAATTAGGATAGGGAAAAGATGAGATCTTTTTGAATTTTCAGTGTCGAATAATACGCATTGGTATAATGTGACTTTTTGTATGTTTCCTTATCACAAAATTATGGAAGTTCATATATAAATAACTTTCTACATACACATCATTGGTCAGTTCAAGTGTTCCACCTTCTTTCTTTTTTTCTTTTTTTTTCCTTTTTCTTCTTCTCTTCTTCTCGGAAGTACATATTTTCTATATACACTGTGAGACAGATACACAGATGGTTACATAATTAAAGATGCCCTAATTCAATGGTATCGGTCCTTTCTTTTTTTTTCCTTTTTCTTCTTCTCTTCTTCTCGGAAGTACATATTTTCTATATACACTGTGAGACAGATACACAGTTGCGAGCATGGTTACATGCGCGTATGTATGTACGTACCACCACCATTGCGATATATGAAGAGAGGGAAACGCCAAACATTGCCGATGCCAACGGCGTATCCGATGCAGGATAGAACAAATTCGATCTGGTTGGACCAACTACCTCGCTTCGGCTCATCTGAATGTTCCACCGAAGTGCCGCCAAGTCCGAGCGAAACCTGTCAATAACATACGGAAACTAATACATTATATTTGCATCCTATAGATATATACATTATCGCCAAGTCAACGAAGGAAAGATCTAATGACACGCTGCAACGCATGAACAACCGAAGAAAAATTAAGTGGGAAAACTAGCAGATAAGAGCCAAGCCACGGGTGTTAGTGCGCGAACTTATTATTGTTAAATTTTAGTAATAAACGTGTATTAAAAATGTAGCTGAAGAAAAGTACAAAAAGATGAAAATTGTGCAAATTAGAAATTTGCACATTGCTTCCTCATCATTTTATTCTGCTCACAAAGCTTCTCCTCAGAGCAAACAGGTTTTTCAATTTTAGTTTCCTCATAGAGGACGCTTTATGAGAAATAAAAAGATAAAGAAACAATGTGTAAGCTTCCAATGTTGACAAATTCCACCTAGAATATTACAAAATATTTTTTTTCCATATTTGAAAATTTACATTTAAAAAAAATTTAATATTAAAATCCAAAATTTCATAAAAAATAAACCCTTTCACCGATCCTCGCCAAATTCAATACCAAACATCTTTTAATGATACTCTATTCATTTAGAAAAATTTAGCCTGATATCTCAAAATTTGCGGAAGTTAGAGCTTGCACAGGCATTTTTTGAAAAATTAAAACTGTCTTAAAATCTAAAACACTGTATAAATTTTTATAAAAATGACAATGTATAAAAGTGTTGTACTATTGTACTTTACTTGTATACCAAATTGCAGCGCTGTAACTCAAACAGTTCTTGAGTTATAGACGTTTGAATTTTCGGTCAATCCGTACATATATACACACACATACATACAGACATTTTTTTTAAATGTGATTTTTCGACATTTTGGAAAATTCTGAACACACATTGATATAGAAAATAGGACAAAAAAATTTGTCACGAAAACAAAGTTTCTTCTATGAGGAAACAAAAAGAAAGAGAAAGAGAGAGAAAAAGAAAAAGAGGGAGACAAAGAAAAAGGAGGAGAAGGAGATGAGAGAGAAAACAGATCTCAACGAGAAAGAAATCTCAAGAGTCGAATCTTTTAGCATATTCACGTAACAAGATTAAAGGCACGTTCGAATCAGTCCAAAGTGATCTCTCAAAAGTTTGACAATGAACGTATTTAATCTGATCGTGAGATAATTACAAATAAGATTATATGATTAGCAAAGCATTGCGTATTAATTTTGAATTATATTATACATGCACCTCAAATAGGAAAAACAGAATAAAATACGGTTTAATATAAGCATATGAAGAGATTAAAATCATATTATTATATTTTCCATTGCTAATTCTCTCTATACCTCGTATTTTTTAAATATAAGAAAATGAGATATGTTGACACGCTCAGGCGCACTACACACACATACGATTTGATTGTCAGACCCAATAATATATATGAAGAAAATATTATAATAAAAATTACAATAAAAATTTGTAATTGTGGAAGATACTAATACATATCTCTTATAAGAGAAATTATAATTATATATTTTTAATCAATAATAATATATACGCGTTTTATATTTAAAAAAAGACTATTTTGTTCAAATATTTTGATGCACATAACAAATGCGTAATCGTTAAATTTACAACTTTTACAAATAATTTATAAATAATTTTATAGATAATTTAAAAATAAAATAATAGAGAATGAAGTTTTTATAAGCGATTAGCATGCGCAGAGAGGTATTTATGCAAACAGGTATGATAAGATGCACGTTTACGCTTCTCTCTTTTGAATTGCAAGATCGTATAATAATTAATCCCAATACATTATTGATTATATATATGACACGTTTATTGTATTCTCAAAAAGACCAACCTGGGATGTTTTCTTAGATTCCGTCATAATAATTGTGGTAAAATCCGTCTTGAATCGTGCGTTGCCACTACGATTCACCTTCGAGACTCCGCTGATGACTGTCTGGGCGTCAACGCGATCAGGTGACAATTAATAATATATATAAAGCAGGGTCCACATTATCGAGCCGAACCTCGAATCGAATATTGTCGCGAGGCGATCACGTGTCCACATTGTTGAATCGAATTTCGAGTCGGACATTGGCGGGAACTATCACGTGAACAATCGCATGTTCGTTCCATGGGGGTCGCAAGCATTTTGATGACATGCAATTCAATTCGCAGCTCGCTTTCACTAGTTGGTATTTTGTCATCGCATCAAAGAATTTTTTTGTATGATTAAGTTATTCGCTTTATGGGATGATAACCGAGCCTCGAGTTACAACGGTGGCAAATGACGGATAACGTATGAAACATATGGACAGTTGTCCATCAATCGCAGGATTCGTTTCAATCCATGTGCATTCATATGCACAAATTAATCTATGCGATTAGTTTTTAATTAGTAATAACAAGAGGGAGAATAATCTGTGATAAAAAGAATTTGCAATTAATTATGAGTGTGCTTATGAAAATAAGAGACTATTACTATCGGGTGCTAAAAATCCCCAGCATTACAATAAATTAAAAAGAAACGATGCTTGGTAAGAAATTAATAATGAACTATAGTGTTATATGTAAAAAAAAAAAGATGACATTATTTATGCCGCATCCTTGGAAAACAAAAAGCTAAAATTGAAAAAAGTACAAGAACAACTGAGCTGCGAAACTGAACTTCGAGCCGATGTTTGTTTTAAACGCACGTTTTAAAAATTTTAACTCTCTTTTGTATTGTGACGGAGCTTGATTAGAGGGTTGACTAAACATTCGGCTCGAGGTTCGGTACGAGACTCGGCTTAAAATTCTGCTCGGTAATGTGGATTCTCCTTAACGGTAGAAGATAATTTGAACGAGTGATTATATCGAAAGATTATTTTGATAGAAGATATAGATCCACTTGATTGGCCTTCGCGAATAAATAAGTTCGATCGTGTATCAATTGCTCTGTGCAAACACGAACTTTTCATTGAAATTCGTGTTATGAAGTGTACGCAAATATTCATGGAAAATCCGATATATATCTGCCGGCAATAATACCGGCAGATTTGCAGATAACAAGAGCGATTCTACGAATGACAATTTAACTTGAACATTTTCGCGAAATTGAAAAATCGAGCGTACATACTCGTACATACTCCTATAACAATCCTTTATTATTATCAAATTACATGTTACCGATTGAAAAGTTTTAGAAAGCTTAGAAGAAAAGAGAAAGTATTGATGTGAAAGTGCGATTTGAGATTTATGTCCGTTCTTTTTTGTCGACTCTATCTAATCTGTCCACATGTCAATATATGATAACTTTAAATAGTTATGGAAAATTAATGTATATTCTTGCTAAGCTCTCGTTAAATTCATAATGCAAAGCTTTGAAATTGTTCGTTTAATATTACCGTCTTATCAGATGTAAGATCATCAATCTTTCGTAAATGTCCAAAGTAAGAGAATCCCGCAGCAACGTTATCTAGAGATAAGTCTGCAGGAAATCTGCGAGTCTCTTCTTTTTCTCTAACTACATTTTCTATTCTCTTTCTTTTTTTATCCTGTAATCTACAGATATAAAGTAATTTTATCATTACTATCTATCGCAAATTTTTTGATTGATTTGAAATAACTTTTTTCCGACTATAAAAAGTCATACATAATATAAAGAATTATAGTAGACCAAAATATTATTTTTTTATTTTGTAAAAATTATTTTCGAACTTCATCATTTTTGCAATAACTAAAAAAAAACTTGTAAAAAGAGATTCAATATTACATTAGGTGTGTTACATTGTAATGTAACAAATGTAAGATATGCATATATCTTTGGTTACTATTGATTTTCCAGTTTATACATTGCGGACTACGATAAAATTCAGAAATGAAAGGAAGGAGCTGCGATAAAAAGAAAAAACGAACGTGCTACTTTATCGCGGAAATGTTGACAACGGGGAAAAAAACTGTTTTATTCGAAAGATCTGGGAAAGAAATGATCTTGCTACCGTCCGATCGTGTATGCAGGAGCATCGTGATAAAGGGAGAACGATTCTCGAATGGGAAAGGCGAGCAAATCTGCTCCCACCGAGTGCCGGGATAAAAGAAACGATTTGCAAACTTGCTTTCGGAGTGACACATACGGAGCTCCGCGATTCCGATTGGAAGGCAAACGCAAGCACGAAGTTATCGTTTATAAAGATCCTATCCGACATACAGAAAGAGAGAGAGAGAGAGAGAGAGAGAGTGAGAGGGGGGGGGGGGGGACAAACTTTATGAATTATGGAACTATTCCAAGTCGGAAAAATAATAGGTGTCGCATCATTTCGATTCTATCGATCCGCATGTCAACTGAGAACGTTTCTAATCTGAATCCTATTTCAGAAGAGAAAAAGAGATTTGTGTAATAACGGATATATAAAAAATTTAGAACAAAAGAGACTTGAATTTTTGAAAACAAAAACTTGACGGAATTTCTGGAGTTAGACCGGTCAGTGGAATTCATAGCGAAGTTTGTCAAACGAGCGAAGTTCATAACTTTATTTACAATGGAAATAGTCGAAAATGGAGAGTGACGTGATGTAGTACGTATACGTACGTATGTATGTACGCAGCGTTTCATCGCATCGGGATGCGCGTTATTGCGAGGTAATTTCTCCAACTTGGTCAATTTAACAGTTTATCTCTCTTTGGTCGCTTTATTGCGTTCGCCCGGCACGTTAATGCAAACACTTTTTTTTCGAACGCCTGCCCTATCTGCTTTCATTTTGACCACCACTCTCCCTCTTTCCCACTCTCTCCCGCATGCTTTTTCCCGCGAACTATGCTGAATAGATGCGATCGATATTACCAATGGGCCGACTGCTAAATCGTAGCGTGTGTATCCGGTTGTTCGAAGTCGTGGCACTAACATTACGGATGAAATAAACAAAAGCGTCCAGGCCGGAAAGAGCACTATCGGTAAACTTGCTAGGCTTGCGTCAGGGTCAATATAGTCACATCCTCTCCTGCAAAAGTATCTATAGCTGTATGTACGCGTGTTTGTTTATATTTGTCTGTATTTATACATGCGCATCGTTTTGAGCTTCCAGATTTGAGCGTTGGGCTTGTTTGATTATATCGTGTGTACAAATCCTGTGCATTTCCTCCAATTTATGGTACATCTATGACATAATATATCTAATACATTGCTATTGGACCGTTTCACGGTACGGTGGATCAGACAGTTTTATGAAAATCATTGTAAAGTTGGCATTAAAATGATTAAGATGTGTTTTTTGTTTTATACAGATTTTAAAGATTTATTCCCCTATACAGGATGTTCCAAAATTAGACCGACAAATTTCAGGTGGTTGTAAAAGACATCAAAACAAGCCAATTTTGCCCATAAACTCGTGTCCTCAAATGAGCCATTTTGGCACTAGAGAATCAAAGACTAACAAGGGCAAAAATGTTAAAAAAAATTATTTTTTCAAGATTTTATTAATGTGGTTAAATAGGGGTGTTTTTACCATGAAACTTTTGTATAAAACATTTTTTGATATCTCGAATTATTTTCGAAATGTATCGAGAAAAACAAATTTCCCGTTTTACATACACGGAAAAAAAATTAGCTGCTGTAGCTAAAAATTGCGTGTGGTAACTAGATTTCCATCGTAATATATGGTCAACGAACATTTTAGCTGTGATACTTATTTATTGGTAGGTGCAACAGCAAACCATTTTGCTGTAGTTTAGAAATTTATTTTGCAAATCATGATTAATTATGGTAACGAAATTTTTTTTCCGTGTATGAGAGGTGATTTCACCTCTTAAAATCATTTTTGAGCTGCAACTGAAAATTTCTAAATACACATACAACTGTATAGAACATTTAGAATTTTTTTAATTCGACATTAATTATACATTGTGCATGCCTATTTAACATATTATATTTTGTATATAATATATGTATATAATTTTTGTATATATGATTACACACACATATTAATAAATTGATTCCACAGTTTAAATTTATCTATTTCAATTCACTTTATCATTTATCTATTTCAATTCAATTTATCTATTTCAATTCAATTTATTCTCTTTATACATGGTAAAGTTTCATCAAATCCAGAATTATCGGGTTTGCGAGATTCCCTTGTTAGTCTTTGATTTTCTAGTGCCAAAACGGTTCATTTGCGGACACGAACATTTATTGGCAAAATTGGCTTGTTTTGATATCTTTTATAACCATTTGAAGTTTGTCGGTCTAATTCTGGGACACTGTATAGATAAAAGATGATAATAGCATCAATTGAACATATAATATTAAGCTATCCTATTTCTAAAATACATATACAGGGTGTATCGTAAAGACCGGATCAACGCTTAAGGGTAGATTCCTGACATCATTTTAAGATGATTTTTCCTCAGCAAAAATATCGAGGCATTAATAATTTCCGTGTTATAAGCGATTCAAAAAGAAGGGCTTTCTGCAAACTAAACTTTATAGAGAGTTAAAACCATATTCTTTGGTTAATTTCAAATAGAGTTTACTTTAATAGAGAGAGAAAATTTTAATTTAAGGCTTAGTTACGAAGATATATGATGGAAAAAATTAAAAATTTGCAAAAAATTATGACCTCTCTCGACATTTTCGCTGAGGAAAAATTATCTTAAAATGATCTCAGGAATCTACCCTCAAGCGTTAATCCGGTCTTTATGATACACCCTGTATATGTTTTTCATCTTCCTCTGATTGTGAGACAAATTTCATGATGAGTGCGGAAAAATCTTATTGAGTGGTAAAAAATTCTAACATTACAACAGCTTAGCCCTTAAATTTATACGTTACTTGAAGACGCTTTAAAGGTTCTTTCGATATAAAATATCGCGATTTATTCTTCCGTCACCAAAGTGCCTCTCGTAAGAGATAATCGACACCAGCCAAAGTTTCCCTAGAATCGCAGAAATTACTAACTGTTACGGCTGCAATAATTGCTTATAACGGAATACCCTATTTCGACCAAAGTCAGAGAACAGACGCGGAAGACGTCTTTAATTTGCACGCTTGTTCAGAGAGGATTCTCCTGCTCTTCCTCTTGCTTGCTATTCCTTTCCTCCATCCATTTGTTTACCCGAAGCATTTCTCGCCAATACACAATATTCATCATTTGCACTCAAAATCCGAGTAATCTACAGTGTGATTTGATTTATTACTACATTTTATTTATTTCTTTAAATTCCTCGCATTTTTGCGAGGTGTAATGACACAATCACGAATGCGAGAGATCGGCAACGCGTTTCATTGCGGATTGCTCAATCTAGTGTTTCAGCGACATGCGAATGGACCATTAGCGATCGAAGACATATAGGTGAACGTAATAGCAATCCGAGGAATCCGGATTCTTGGTAGTCCGCACTTTCGGTGGTCGTCGATAAGAGCGCCGGAAGCGATAATATCGCTCGCCCACGTGCGATATCTCGATTTAAAGAAGGAAAAATTGGTTGGATGTCTTTCGATGGTTAAACTATAGCGCAAACATTGTCGATTGAAAATTAAAACCCATCGCGACGATCGATAATTAAAAAATCCCGATAGTATGGATGTTGTTTCACATCGCGCGTCGCTCCATCGTACGAGAAAAATCTCGTCGCAAATACGTCGTACATCCGCTTGTACAGCACAATAATGCATACAGGACGTCCGGAGAATCGCATCGCAAAATACTATAACGCAAAAGTTCGTGAAGAATACAGCAATAAAAGCGTTCACGACTTTTTGCTCCGAAAAGTAATTTTTGAATGTCGTTGTTATAGATAGGGTGTCCACTTCCTGGAAAAACCTAGAAAACATGGAATTCTC